ACGCGACGGGCTGGAGTTTTGAGACTCTATGACCGCGGGTTCAATCCCGGCCGGGGGTATGGTTTAATAAGAAGAAAATTGTCAAAGTGGGAAGTCTGAATGTGCGTGAATGTTGTGCGAATGATAAGAAAGAGATGATTGTGGATGTTATGAGTGAGAAGAAGCTGGATGTCCTGGCTTTAAGTGAAACAAAGCTGAAGGGGGTGGGTGAGTTTCAGTGGAGAGGAATAAATGGAATTAGGTCAGGGGGTTCTAACAGAGTTAGAGCTAAAGAAGGAGTAGCAATAATGTTGAAGGATAAGCTATGGCAGGAAAAGAGGGACTATAAATGTATTAATTCAAGAATTATGTGGAGTAAAATAAAGGTTGAATGTGAGAAGTGGGTTATAGTAAGCGTATATGCACCTGGGGAAGAGAGAAGTATAGAGGAGAGAGAGAGATTTTGGGAAATGTTGAGTGAATGCATGGGGAGTTTTGAACCAAGTGTGAGAGTACTTGTGGTTGAGGATTTTAATGCTAAAGTGGGTAAAAATGTTGTGGATTGAGTAGTAGGTAAATTTGGGGTGCCAGGGGTAAATGAAAATGGGGAGACTTTAATTGAGCTATGTGTAGAAAGAGGTTTGGTAATAAGTAATACATATTTTATGAAAAAGAGGATAAATAAATATACAAGGTATGATATAGCACGTAATGAAAGTGGTTTGTTAGATTATGTATTGGTGGATAAAAGGTTGATGGGCAGGTTCCAGGATGTACACGTTTATAGAGGGGCAACTGATATATCGGATCATTATCTAGTTGTAGCTACAGTTAAGAGTAAGAGGTAGATGGGAAAAGAGGAAAATGGCAACAACAAGAGGGAGGTGAAAGTGTATAAACTAAGGGAGGAGGACGTTCGGTTGAAATATAAGCAACTATTGGCAGAAAGGTGGGCTGGTGCAGATATGAGTAGTGGGGGATTGAAGAGGGTTGGAATAGTTTTAAAAATGCAGTATTAGAATGTGGGGCAGAAGTTTGTGGTTATAGGAGGGTGGGTGCAGGAGGAAAGAGGAGTGATCAGTGGAATGAAGAAGTAAAGGGTGTGATAAAAGAGAAAAAGGTAGCTTATGAGAGGTATTTACAAAGCAGAAGTGTTATAAGAAGAGCAGAGTATATGGAGAGTAAAAGAAAGGTGAAGAGAGTGGTGAGAGAGTGCAAAAGGAGAGCGGATGATAGAGTGGGAGAGGTACTGTCAAGAAATTTTAATGGGTGTGAAGCATGGGTTGTGAATATTGCAACAAGAAGGCTGAAGGCAGTGGAGATGTCGTGTCTGAGGGCAATGTGCGGTGTGAATATAATGCAGAGAATCCGTATTTTTAAAATTAGGAGGAGGTGTGGAATTACTAAAGTATTATTCATAGGGCTGAGAAGGGGTTGTTGAGGTGGTTCGGACATTTAGAAAGTATGAAACGAAATAGAATGACTTGGAGAGCGTATAAATCTCTAGTGGAAAGAAGGCAGGGTAGGGGTCGGCCTAGGAACGGTTGGTGGGAGAGGATAAAGGAGGTTTAGAGTGTTAGGGGCTTGGACTTCCAACAAGCGTGCGTGAGCGTGTTAGGAGTTAGTGGAGACAAATGGTCTTTATGAATTGATGTACTGTTGGGGTGTGAGCATAGTAACATTCATGAAGGGATTCAAGGAAACCAGCAAGCTGGACTTGAGAACTGGAGGTGAGAAGTACAGTGCCTGCGCTCCGAAGGAGGGATGTTGATATGTTGCAGCTTTATAACCGTAGTGTAGGCATGCCTCTGGCAAGACAGTGATGGAGCAAATGATGATGAAAGTGTCTTTTCTTGGACACCCTGGTCTATATATATATATATATATATATATATATATATATATATATATATATATATATATATATATATATATTATATATATATATATAGGTGTTTGTGTATGTGTGTTCAAGTGTAAATAAGTTTAGTAATATACTGAAAATGCGTTGCTGTATGCAACTCTATACTAATGTTGATGTATACCACGAATGGGAAGAATAAGATACAGTGTACAGGGAACTTCAGTGTTCAATGTTTTACCCACAAATGAGCCTTATCCTGTACATTTGAGTTGATAACGCACATCAAGGGTGAAAATCTGCACATTTAAGGTTTCATTGCATATGTCTTATTCGTTCCACTTACACAGATATTACAATAAATGCAATCTGAACAGTTTTTAATTTATATCGACATAGGTGGAAAATACACAAGACTTAAACAATAGTAATTTACATATTAACACCGTATAAATTATCTTGTTTCCTAAGGTGAGAGAGTTTAATAAGTCTTAGGTTACGTGGAAGCTGTGAACTGTCGTGTGATAAACAGTTGATTGTTAACTCGCCCAGGACTACCACACAACAAAACATGGGCACTATTTCAGGTGGTGGTTCAGTATTACCGCATTAGTCTTGTTTACCACACTACACTTTGCTTTATTCATGAATTAGAAATTGAATTATTAGTTTATGTTAAGAGCCATTGCGAACCACTGTCAGGTAGCAAGAGAATTATATATCCTCTTGAGGTTATTAAAAATGTATATATTTGTCCAGAACGAACTGAAACATTGCTTAGTTTTCATCTCATTTCTAATTTGTAGTTTCTTACAGCTACGAAATTATGACTTTTATACCCTATACTGATAAAAGTATAATAATCTCGTTAATGAGCTGTGAGAGTAGAGGAAGAAAGTGATGTAGTATACCAGTACACTCACTATTGTTAGTTTTAGGAGCACAGCACACACAGCCATGACCGTGACAGCCTTGATGGTGGTGTATTAGAATTTCATGTACATTACATCTCCTCCTGCAGATTCCTCCGAAAGCTGAGCAGCGTGCCCGGGTGCCACACCTAGCTCTCTCATCCAATTGCTCATTCAAGACAGGTTCGTCTGGAAAAACGAACCCAACAATCATGTCATAAATCCGAGTACAGATGTAAAATTTCGTTTGAGTTATTAACGAAAAGGCTAACAATAGAAGTCGAGAATCCATATCACATTGTCTCTTAAAACAATGAAACCTATGTAAGTAGTCTTAAAAACTAATATTGTGATTTAATATGTGACCAGTTCACTAAAAGATTTTAGAAAGTAATATAATTTATCACTGTGGACGTTGGAAGGCAAATCATTAATAATTTTGTTAGTTATGTTTTTGTGCTTTTAAACGATCGTGTATAAATATCACGAGGAAAAACATTTCATTAAAGCAGTCAAAAAATATTTCAAGGTCAAAATAGTAATCGTACTGCTGGCTGTCTTGATTCTAAAGTACAAAAAATCAGCCTCTGGGTACTGTGTGGTGTTCATGTGTTTTATGTTGAACATACGGAACATTTCCATAATACTCTTGCCTTGTATCACCAAAAAAAAATTTTTCTATTGCACAAAAAGGCTGTGTATGTCTGTATAACAGTGACACAGCCCCGTGGCATGGTCTGTGAGTAGAATTGTCGTAAACCTCTTAATTACACTGTTGTTTTTATGATACAATGCTTGTTTCCCACTTCCTGTGTGGTGGCAACGGAACAGTCATAATCCCTGTATATTGAATATGTTATATATAAATATTGCAAGAATACACTCCTCCGTTCCTGTGTTTTGACTATAATGTCACAGTTAACCTTTCCTGTGCTATGTTAATAGAAATATGATGGAGTCCGTAAAGTCCTGTGTTGATCCTCAGCCCCGTGATGTGTTTACGGAGCAGTGCCACAGCACTCTGTGTACTGTGTTGTGTCTATAAAACAGTCACACAGTAAACTTTTTCTATTCAGCATTTAAGGAGCACCGCTGTATTTAGAGAAAACTCTAATTTTCTACCGTTACTCTTGATTTTGTTTCTCTTATCTTCCTTTATCCCTTGTTTTCTTCAGATCCTAATCTGAAAAAAAAAAAAAGATTAATTTTCATAAAGTGTTTATTACTCACCTATTTGTAGGTAAGGGGATAAATTTCTAACATTCTTGTGTGGTGTGTGTGTGTGTGTGTGTGTGTGTGTGTGTGTGTGTGTGTGTGTGTGTGTGTGTGTGTGTGTGTGTGTGTGTGTAAGTGTGTGTGTGTGTGTGTGTGTGTGTGTGTGTGTGTGTGTGTGTGTGTGTGTGTGTGTGTGTGTGTGTGTACTCACCTAATTGTGGTTGCAGGGGTCGAGACTCAGCTCCTGGCCCCGCCTCTTCACCGACCGCTAACTAGGTCCTCTCTCCCCCTGCTCCATGAGCATTATCATACCTCGCCTTAAAACTATGTATAGTTCCTGCCTCCACTACATCGCTTGCCAGACTATTCCACTTCTTAACTACTCTATGACTGAAGAAATACTTCTTAACATCCCTTTGACTCATCTGAGTCTTCAGCTTCCAGTTGTGACCCCTTGTTTCTGTGTCCCAACCCTGGAACATCCTGTCTCTGTCCACCTTAGTCTATTCCACGCAGTATTTTGCATGTCGTTATCATGTCTCCCCTGGCCCTCCTGTCCTCCAGTGTTGTCAGACCGATTTCCCTTAGCCTTTCTTCATAGAACATTCCCCTTAGCTCTGGAGCTAGCCTTGTTGCAAACCTTTTCACTTTCTCTAATTTCTTGACGTGTTTGACCAGGTGTGGGCTCCAAACTGGTGCTGCGTACTCTAGTATGGGCCTGACGTACACAGTGTATAAAGTCTTGAACGATTCCTTACTGAGGTACCGGAACGCTATTCTCAGGTTTGCCAAGCGCCCATATGCCGCAGCAGTTATCTGGTTAATGTGTGCTTCTGGCGATGTACTCGGTATTATACTCACTCCTAGGTCTTTCTCCTTGAGTGAGGCTTGCAGCCTTTGGCCTCCTAGCCTATACTCTGTCTGCGGTCTTTTTTGCCCTCCTCCGATCTTCATGACTTTGCATTTGGCGGGGTTAAATTCTAGGAGCCAGTTTCTGGACTAATCTCTTGTGAGGAACTGTTTCGAAGGCCTTCTTGCAGTCCAAGAAAATGCAATCAACCCACCCCTCCCTCTCATTTCTTACTTCAGTTACTTTGTCATAAAACTCTAGTAGGTTTGTGACACAGGATCTGCCTTCCATGAATCCGTGCTGGCTGTCGTTTATAATCTTGTTCTGCTCCAGGTGCTCCACCACTCTCCTGATAATCTTTTCCAAGACTTTGCATACTATACATGTCAGTGACACTGGTCTATAATTTAGTGCTTCATTTCTATCTCCCTTCATAAAGATGGGGACTACATTTGCCTTCTTCCATACTTCAGGTAGTTGCCGTTTCAAGGGAAGTGTTGAAGATTTTGGTTAGTGGCACACGTAGTGTCCCTGCTCCCTCTCTAAGGACCCACGGAGAGATGTCTGGTCCCACCGCCTTTGAGGTATCAAGGTCACTTAGTGTGTGTGTGTGTGTGTGTGTGTGTGTGTGTGTGTGTGTGTGTGTGTGTGTGTGTGTGTGATAAAATAAATTAATTTGATACGTGAACACAACGTCATACACTAATTATTTTTTCGTTCTGTAATGAACTGCACATAGATACAACCAAAAAATTTTAACTAGTGGAGTTAATATTTGCATCGAGAGCCGAGTATCTCTCAGGGTATATATGATGAGAATTTACGTTAGTCTTTATTTCAGGGATTAAAGTATTCTTAACTTGTTATGAACATATCTCATGTAGACTTAATGACCCCCGTGTAGTCTGTAGACCTCAATGAACCAATGGTCAATCTTTGGTATGGTTAAGGATGAACATTAACAAATTCACTATAATTCTAACGTTTTCTAAATGGTAAGAATGGGTGGTTCATTCAGCTGAAGATTGGAAGAGCTCTGACCATGTGCTTCCCGCTAACTATTTAATCTAACTCTTAAAAAATAAAGATAAATAGATGAAAAACTATTTGCAACTATCTTTAATTTGCTTAAAAACAGATGCTAAAAATGCGCAAAAAATGTGTATAAAAACTTTTCTAAACGAACTATTATTTGAACTAGAAGATGCAGTGGTATTGGCTGGTGTTAAATACCGCGTGACATATCTATGTTGCCTAGACACCGCTGCTCTGGCACCGGGGAAAATCCCTGACTTTACCTTAAAATGCCCCGAAAATGAATAGACCAGTAGCTATTAAATTAAAGAAAATGCCTGTATAGAGCAGACTATATCTTCCTAAGGAAAGGGAGACACAGACGCGTGTAACCTGAACACAGACATGCTAACACGGTCAACAAATTCCATATTTATACGAATATAAGGTATATCACTTCCTCATTAATATAATGGAACACACAAAATTTTCCCGAACACATGTATATTTCCTACGATTATTAAAAATCACGTTTTCCGCCAAGATCAGCAAATATATGACCATCACCCGTACACGTGTGTTGAAGCTAATCTAGGAACACCAGGTAACACGCTGCTTACCTGTATGCTATTTATTTCATTTATATTGTATGTGTCGAATTTACTATGAATTCATTTACAAGAATTGTCTATAGTTTCTGCAAAACCAAACACAATACAGTCAGGAGTGACTGGGACTTGTATTTATGTGTTCATTCGTGCGCCATTTTTTTTATTTACATACAGATAAATGGGACAAGCAGCCACTTGTATCTTGTTAGTGACATTCTAAGACGCAATTTACAACAAGCATGGTGACATGAGCAGCAGTCTCGAGCAATTCGGTAGAATTTTCATTGAAGCATTAGACACAGAATTGTAAAAAACACAGGAAATAAATATTAAGTGTATACTGTGTTTTTGTTAAACTTATAATAGTTACCAGCGATCTGTTCATCAAGGAGAAATAATATTTTAACAAACATGAGAGAACTGTAGGAGAGAACCTAATTGAATGGTTGTTTATCAAAGATCCTGATGATTCCTCGAGCACCCAGGATACTAGTTGTACCATTACATTACATCTTGGGTAGAACAGGAACATCAATAGCCCTCGATCTACTATAGGCCTGATTTCTCCTGGTACTCAGAAATGATCTACATCTATCCCTTTCACTCTCTTTCAAGACTGAATTGCAAAGATTTATCTTTAAAAATATTTGGAAGCAGAAAACAAGCTTGTCTTAGGTCTTTAGCTGGAGGTAACGATCAGGTCTATGGTACATCTCTTGGATACTTTGTTGCTAAGCTAAAAATGAATGGCCTAAAATATTGCAAGACAATAACAGAGAAGGCAAGCGACATACCTCACCATGTGCGGTGCCGTTTCCTTCGTTTGTTCCTGCGGTTTCGTCCAGCGGGGATTGCTCGGCTGCAGTCCCAGAGTCAGTCTCGGCGCTCTCCACGTCCACCAGGTAGACACAGAGGAACACCAGCACATACACAGGCTTCATGGCGGTGATGTTTTACTTGGTTACTTGTTCAGTTGCTGCTGAGGCCGAGTCTTCTGTGTCTCAACACGCCCGTGGTCGAGGGAGTGTGGCTCAGAACTAGTAGCTTCTGCAGTGGGGAGACCTGCCTTATATTCCCTTAAAAAGCATCCAGCTCATCCCAGAAACACCTGCTGTAAACACAGGTGCTAAACGTTGAATGGTGTTGTTATGTATCAATGTTTTTCAATACATTTGCTTCTAGAATGCAAGTAGCCACATCATCAGCAGCAGGGATCCCATATGAAAATTTTAAATAGCGCTGTATTTCCTAAAACGCGCTAAAATCTCTATATTTTCTTTATTTGTGGTTAAAAAACGCATTAACATTATTTTTTTGCAAAAAATAACACATTATGCTTTGCTCTCACTCACCAGCACACGGGCGATTATTCTAGATCTGCTAAATACCAATCAACCATCTTTTCCTCAGCGTGTCTAGCGGTTTCTTGTGACTGAGGAGGAGGTTGATTTGCATACAAAAAGCCTATTTTCGCATGGTTTCATTTGGTAGTTTGTAATCAAAGCAGAATTTACGGTTTACCTTGCTTCTCAGTCAGTATTTAATAAGCAAAAAAGCTCAAACTAATAATAATAAATAATTTGTTTTATTATTATATCTTCCTACTGAGAACTCAGTCCAATGAGGCCAGTGCTTCGTCTGGTAATGTGCTGCTCTGTCTCTATCCCAATAACAGAGATAACAAGGAAACTTGGTAAAACCTCCTTGGAATCCCATAAAAAATGACACCATTTTGAAGACTCCAATAACCTCCCAGCCATACTTATCATAGTTCAAAGCTTCCAGTAGAGGTTTGACACTGTTGTAGTCCTCCTTAAGATGCACTAAACGAGCCAAGAGAAGAGATGGATACTTGTTCCCATTGTGCAGAAGTACAGTTTTTAGGCTTCTAGAGGAGCTATCAATGAATACTCTCCAGTCATCTAGATTGCATGCAATCCAATTGCATCAAACAAGCCTGATACATCATTACAGCAGCACAACCTGTTTTCATTACTGAAGAAGCTTGAGAAATGAATGTTTGTGACGTTTTCTTTGGCTTGTCACTTGCACACTTTCATCCACCAAGTCCCACTCCTTAAGCCTTGAAATCAAAAGCTCAGCATTTGGCTTTGTTAAACCAAGATCTCTGATAAGGTCATTGAGGTCTGTTTGGTTTGGGTAGTAAGGATTCTTCCCAATAGCTGCATCTGTGAGATCACAGTCTTGTTCGCTGTGCTTTTCATTTTCTGATTTGCTGCTTTCTTCTTCTGACGGTCGACTTCTTTCTAGAGGTGTAGGTATAGGACGATCAGCACTGTGTGGTACTGGTGCAATAGAAGAGGGAAGACCTGGATAAGATATAGCAGGTGCATTTTTCCCAATTCGGTGTTTGGAAGGCTCCACCACCAGGCAGAAGTAGCAGTGGGTTGAGTGATCAGTGGGTTCACGTTATATTTTAAGAATAGCAAACTTCATGGCTCTTTTTTCTCCTCTATACTATCCTGTAAAAAACAAAAGAATTCGTTTCTGTTACATATATTTCATTTAAAAAATGTTCCTATTCAAGATTTTACCCTTCATATAACTAACGACTTTCTTACCTCACAATGTTTTCTTACAATGCTCACAAACAACATGAGGTGCCCAGGTCTTGTCTTGGTCCACAACTGGCATGACAAAATATGCTTTGTAAGCTTCACACATTTTTTTAGATGCTGTTACAGAGAACTTCTTTGCTCTTGTCTTAATGAATTGACCACATATGTAGCAGAATGCATCTGGAGAATGAGTGTAGCCTCTTGATGCCATTTCACTTCTGAAGTGTTTTCTCAGATAGCAAGAGCACCTGTTTTTACATTTGCCAAGTAAAACCCTAGAACATAATAGTTTTACATCAGTCTTTCTTAAAAGTGTTCCAGAAGTGTCCTGACCACAAAAGCAAAGTTCTGGGATCAAAATTGCTTTTTAAAATTTTGTTTAGTTATAAAGAATTGGGAAATAACGCTTATTTCCCAGGAACACGACAAAAGTGAAACTTTCTTACATAGTGTAATCTTTATTTCTGCAAGTACATGTACAAGGTATACAAATAAATAACAAAAAAGGCACAATACCGTGACTGGAACGATACACAAATAACCCGCACATAAAAGAGAGAGTGACTTTGTCAATGGTCCAAGTCGGACCGAAACGTCGTCGTAAGCTTCTCTCTTTTATGTGCGGGTTATTTGTGTACAAGGTATACAGGCCTAGCTGACATCAATGACATACTAGTATATAGAAAGCCTCTGGTTATGCAGATCATTTCGGGCAAATTAGGTAAATTTTGTCCCCAGGATGCGACCCACACCAGCCGACTAACACCCAGGTACCTGTTTACTGCTAGGTGAAGAGAGACAATAGATGTCTTAAACATGCACAAATGTTTCCACCCGTACGGAGATCGTGCCACGGACCTCAGTGTGTGAGCTGATTGCACTAGCAATCAACCTCAGATTTTAATTCTGCATACACTCCATTGCTGACACTGGTCATAACAGAAACATTATCAGTGCCTAAATTCTTATTATTAGTATTATGGAGAGCGCTAAACCCATAGGGATTAAACAGCGCCTGGTTGGGGGGTGGAAGGCATTCGGGATCAATTCAGGAAAGTGGAGCACAAATCCAATTCCCTAGATCAAGAGCCTCTCGCCAGTGTTAAGGAACCTCCCGTGAGAAAATTAGTGCCTAGATCAATACGTTTTTGTAACTAAAGTCCATTACTTTTCAAGTATTCCTTTAAAGCCTTGCATTTTGAATCAGCATTGCAGTCACACAGCTCAACTAGGTCCAAATAAGTAACCACAATTTGTTTTTTCTCGCAGAATAATAGGTAATGGCTATACTTAATAATTTAGTTATATAAATATCATTACTTTCGTCTATTAATAAGCTGAATTTACTATTTCCAATATCAGCTTTCAAATCATCACTAAAGTACGGTGCAAGTACATTGGAAACAACTGCACTACATTTTGTCCTCCTGAGCTTAAGGTTATTACATTCAAAACTGTTCTTTGCAGAGTTCACTTACATGGTCAACTTGACTTACGAAATCGTAATGACACGATTGCAAACAAACCATACTACGGACGGGGATAGAACCCTCGATCAGTCTCAAAACTCCAGACCGTCGCTAATGCGACGGTCTGGAGTTTTGAGACTCTCCGATCGCGAGTTCTATCCCCATCCGTGATATGGTTTACATGGTCAGCTACTTGTAAAGAACAATGCTCAGCAATAAACAGACATATTTCCCTCTGTTCTTCTTACATCATCGTTTATTTTTTTCAGATTGAAGCAGTATCTTTGTGTACTGAACGGTACAGTGGACACGTTATCTGTATAAAGTTTTCAATTGCTGCTCTTGTATCTGCATCATCTACAACTCGTCGGTATTCTAATATCATCCATTGTTTCAGTGTTGTAGTTAACAGTCATTACAACCTTGGAGTATCTCCTAGATTACTTGTTAAAGAAATTTGTATTTGTTTCTGAATCCAGAATATTTTCAAAATTAATTGTATTAATACATTTATAATATTTGTGTGTGTGCACGTGTGTGTGTGTGTGTGTGTATGTACTCACCTATTTGTGGTTGCAGAGGTCGATTCATAGCTCCTGGCCCCGCCTCTTTGCTGACTGCTACTAGGTCCTCTCACACCCTGCCCCATGAGCTTTATCATACCTCGCCTTAAAACTATGTATGGTTCCCGCCTCCAATACGGCACTTTCTAGGCTATTCCACGGCTTGACTACTCTATGACTGAAGAAATACTTCCTAACATCCCTTTGATTCATCTAAGTCTTCAACTTCCAATTGTGATCTCTAGTGTCTGTGTCCCATCTCTGGAACATCCCGTCTTTGTCCACCTTGTCTATTCCGCGCAGTATTTTATATATCGTTATCATGTCTCCCCTGACCCTCCTGTCCTCCAGTGTCGTCAGGCCGATTTCCCTCAACCTTTCTTCGTAGGACAATCCCCGTAGCTCTGAGACTAGTCTTGTTGCAAACCTTTGCACTTTCTCTAATTTCTTGACGTGCTTGACTAGGTGTGGATTCCAAACTGGTGCTGCATACTCCAGTATGGGCCTGACGTAAATGGTATACAGAGTCTTGAACGAATCCTTACTGAGGTATCGGAACGCTATCCGTAGGTTTGCCAGGCGCCCGTATGCTGCAGCAGTTATCTGATTGATGTGCGCCTCAGGAGATATGCTCGGTGTTATACTCACCCCCAGATCTTTTTCCTTGAGTGAGGTTTGCAGTCTTTGGCCATCTAAACTATATTGTATCTGCGGTCTTCTTTGCCCTTCCCCAATCTTCATGACTTTGCATTTGGCAGGGTTAAACTCAAGGAGCCAGTTGCTCGACCAGGCTTGTAGCCTGTCCAGGTCTCTTTGTAGTCCTGCCTGATCCTCATCCGATTTGATTCTTCTCATTAACTTCACATCATCTGCAAACAAGGACACTTCTGAGTCTATCCCTTCCGTTATGTCGTTCACATATACCAAGAACAGCACAGGTCCTAGGACTGACCCCTGTGGAACCCCGCTTGTCACAGGCGCCCACCCTGACACCTCGTCCCGTACCATGACTCGTTGTTGCCTCCCTGTCAGGTCTGTCAGGTATTCTCTGATCCATTGCAGTGCCTTTCCTGTTATGTGCGCCTGATCCTCTAGCTTTTGCAGTAACCTCTTGTGAGGAACTGTGTCGAAGGCCTTCTTGCAGTCCAAAAAAATGCAGTCGATCCACTCCTCTCTCTCGTCTTACTTCTGTCACCTTGTCATAAAACTCTAGTAGGTTTGTGCCACAGGATTTTCCTTCCCTGAAACCGTGCTGGTTGTCAATTATACACTTGTTTCTTTCCAGGTGCTCCACCACTCTCCTCCTGATGATCTTCTCCATGACCTTGCATACTATACACGTTAGTGATACAGGTCTGTAGTTTAGTTATTGGCACACACAATATCTCTGCTCCCTCTTTAAGGACCCACGGAGAGATGTTGTCTGGTCCCACCGCCTTTGAGGTGTC